AACTTGAATTGTGTGGACTAGCCAAACTAGTATCCATGGTGCGAATGCATTTAAACATGGCAAAATACAAACTATATCTGTGGTCCGATTCGGAAATTGTACTAGCCTGGAAGAAAAACCACCATATGCATGGAAGACGTATATTTCCAATCGAACGTCTCAAATCCTTGACCTAGTAGGATCAGCCACTTGGCGACATGTTGCCAGTGCTGACAATCCTGCTGATCTAGGTACAAGAGGATGCAAACCCCTGCATCTTGCCACCACCACCCTCTGGTGGAATGGTTAACAGAATCTCCCGATTCTTGGCCACAATCGCCCATGCGCAATATAATTGCCCCAGAAAGTCGAAAAATCGACTCTTTTCACACAACAGTGGATGATACCGACATGCTCGAACGATTTTTATCGTTCCCATGAGTCCTCAGAGTAGTCGCTTATATGCTCAAGTACATAGAGCGACTCAAAATTAAACTTAAGGGAGTAACCCATTTTATTTCCAATGCGATACATTGACGCATTGACGATTTTGCTGAGCCTTTTCAAATAAAGGCGTTCCTGTTAAGGTCTCCCACTCTGATGAAAGGCTATGGGGCTGTTTTTGTCTGTTTTACGACAAAAGCAGTGCACCTTGAGCTTTGTACTAATCTAACGAAGGAGGCTTTCCTTGCGGCATTTGCCCGCTTCGTCGATCGACGCGGCTTTCCATCGAAGATAATGAGCGATAATGGTAAAACATTTATCGGCGCTCAAAGAGCCACCGAAAAACAATTTGTGGACTTTATCTAACAAGTCCCACCTGAGATTGTAGAAAAGTACGCGCCTCAAGGCATTAATTAGCAATTCATCCCCCCAAGCGCTCCTCATATGGGTGGTTTATGGGAATCAGCTGTAAAAAGCTTCAAATCCCACTTCAAGAAAGTAGCTGGAAATTACAAATTCAATTACGAAGAATTCATGACATTATTAATTCGAATTGAAGCCGTTCTCAATTCACGGCCTCTTACAATCCTTTCGCAAGATCCCTCCTATTTCCCAGCCTTAACTCCAGGGCACTTTCTCAAAGGAACACCCATTCTGACCATACCTGAGCCAGGCGTGGAGTCGCTATCCTTATTAAATCGCTGGGAAAGAATTAAAATTCTTCATCACGATTTCAGCCGCCGATGGAAAGAAGAATACATAAAGGATCTCCATAAACGATACCCTTGGAAGACTCCTGAACAAGCATAAAAACTTGGAGATTGTGTCATCATCCATGATGATTGTCTACCTCCTACTGAATGGCGGCTTGGGCGCATAGAAAAGCTACATTACAGCTCCGACGGTCACATACGAGTGGTTGATCTTCGTACACAAAGCGGAATGCTAATCAGACCGCTCGTGAAGCTATGCTTTCTCCCAACCGCCGATAATATCGACACAGCAAATCGCAAATAATTAACCGATACTACCGCAATACAATAAAATAAGAAGCCAAAATCCGAAAAACTCGTAAATAACCGTTAAAAATAAAAATAACTAATAAAAAAAATGGTCGATCAATACGATGACCCATTCATGCCACATAGCGTGGCACGATCATCCATATCCTTTATATGACAAATCTGCATAATTAAACAACTCTTTCATGCAGATTAACATGGATGTGGATACGCCAACCGTGCGGTCGGCTACCAACGTGCCACGCACGGGGCCTACCACAACGCCCCGATCTGCAGCTGCAACTACCCCTGCAAGCGCACCTGCAACGACACCGATGTTAGCACCAGTTTCTCGCGGTGGCACGCGACCTTCACCGACGCTATCATCGCCGCCTTCAGAGGCACATCGTATACGATGTCCCATTTGTCGGCGCCCACATCGCCTGCACATTGTGGGATTTTTAGAAGTATGCGACCGTTGCAACAACAGCAAGTTGCCCAGGCACACAGGCACTGTCTCAACTGCCTATCGCACACATATGGGACTCAAGAGTGTGTGTCCACTAGTCTGTGCCAAATTTGCAGCAGACCACATCATACACTCCTTCATCGCACCTCGAGGCGCGACGTCGGTCGGCCACCTACTCTTCGAAGCCGCGCAACAGGACCTCGACCCTCAACTCGTGCTGTACACCCGTGGAATGTAACACCACGGCGTCGACAGCCTAGACCGCAACCACGTCGTTCAACGGGTCTGAGCAGCGTTGTGGCAACGCTACAACAGCTGCAGCGACTACTAGGCTAATCATTTGCCTAGGGGGACCGTGATGGCTAAATGACCACTCAATCCCCCCTCACCATAAGACACTGTCACACCACACCAATTCCCATCCACAGTTTCATTTTTAGAAAAAATTATTACGTTATCAAATATCTATCTTATATGCTCTCTCAGAATGTCGTCAATAATCCTTTAAAAAATACTTCCCGCTTTTTTCAAACCGAAGGGCAACCAGCAAAACTCATATTTTCCACCGTTTACCGAGAATGAAGTCTTTACGCGGTCTCGTTCCGCTAAATAAATCTGATCTAATCTAATTTTTCTGATCCTAGATTCGCTAGAATTATAGGTATACTTGGCACTGGATACCGATCGTTAATTTTTATTGCCATTAGTATTTTCTTGTCAACAACCAGATCTGGGATGGTGTAGGGGGACTTCGATGGTCTTATGACGCCATATTTAAGTAATTCTTTGATTTCGTTACTTACAAAATCTAAAACTCCCATAGGGTAAGGGTATAATTTAGTGTAAATTGGTTCATTGTCGAAAATTACTTTACTCTTTTTAGTATCATGCCTCTGAATTCCTTTTTAATAGGTATGGTCACTACAATGTCATTAACATCTGTGAAATTTACATTGTCGCAGTAATGGTACTGCAATTGTTCAGATTTGTTTTGGTAATTAATAGTGCTGTCTCGTAAGTTAACCGCTACTATTGCTTGTGTTAACGAGTCGAATCCTATAACGGTGTCAAATGAACTTAGTGTGTCTAGTAGAAAAAATAATAAGGTTTGTCCGAAGAATTTCATCAGACATATGTTTGTTATTGTCGTATGTTTCGTTGTCATCTTCGACTTCGAGTACAGCGGCTTCCGCTGTCTTTCCATATTCTGATTCTTGTGAATCAGGTGTGCGTTGAACAACGTTATTCAGTTTCTGGCGCCTTGGCCCTGTTATGCTATCGGACGTGTTTGATCTTTTTTGGGCTTGTTCGCCCTTATTTTAGGGTTTATGAAAACTATAGGAGGATGCTGCCTAAACCTATAGGAGGAGTCTACTTCCATTGGCGCCGGTGTTTGTTCCTAGTCTTCTCTTTTGATATTTTTTTAGTTTGCATTGCATACTGCGTTTAGTGATAGCTTCTGCTTCTGCGGTCAATGCTTAAGCATATTGTTAGTTCTTTGGTTGTGCCGCAAAAACAGTAGATCTAAGGGACTTCTTTAGGCCAGAAATGAAGGCATGAAGTGCGTCGGCTCTGACCTCCTCATTGAGTAGTGTAGCCTGATCCGCTTCATATGTCATCACAATTTTGTTAGTAACTAATGTTAATTTTTTTCAACTTCATCGAAATAATCTTAGTCTTGTCTAACCATTTCAAGTTCTTGCTTCAAAGTAGTGTCTGCAAATGAGCAATCTGCTAGCAATGATTGCATCGAAATTAAGGACTGTATTGTGGGACACTAACACTGCTCTGTTACCGCTTTTTAATGTGTGCAGCTGCCATTAAATGGTTTGAGTAATACGTACACGTTCATGGCCGATTGAGAGTGGGATGTTGCACGCGATATCTGGGTTCTCTGAAATTCTATTATAAACCTCAATTTGTAGAGTTTCAATACATAAGTTGTTAACTTTCACTCTCATTTCGTTGAGTTGTGTTTAAAATCTCTGTTCTTACTGCGCTAAAGTTGGCTGAAAGCACTCTGGACTAACTCTTGCACTTGATTTGCATTCATGTTAAAGCTTACGTCATTAGATACTTGGCTATTGCTAACTTCTGTGTCCCACACTATGTCACTAATCAACTTATATTTTTTTAAGTGTGTCAATTCAACTTATATGTGCTTTTACGATTCAGTGGGATTTGGTTATATAATAGAATGTGTTTAATTTCGATTAATCTTTATTACAAATATTGTATTAATGGAATTCTTTTAATCTGGTAACTTGATATATTCACAATACACTTCCTTTTTTTATTTTGGTGCACGACTTAAAATGCTTTTAAATGAACCTATATAATGTGGACCATAATATATTTCTAGTCCCACCTTAAGTGTGTGGATCCTTATTGGTTGGGCGCCACTTAAGCTTTTCACATAAGTAAATTCCAATGATAGAGATGATTCGGCTAGTGTTAGAGCAAATTAAGCTTATCACACAAGCAGATTCCAATGACAGAGATTAATCGGCTAGGGTATATGGCAAAAAGATCTTTACTCTGCTTTTGATTACGGTCCGATTTGAGCACTAATCTATGCTAAATTTCGTGAAGATATCTTGATAAATAAATGAGTTTTCAGTACAAGGATTTGAGTTTGATCGGTCAGTTGTGCTATATGCTGTATTAGTCCGATGTGAATAATTTCCTCGAAGAAGACACCTTGTCAAATAAAAAGGTTTTCCACACAAGGACTTGAGTTTTATCGTTCAGTTTATATGGAAGCTAAGGGCTATAGTTAATAATCCGATAAATGCGCAGCTTCTTGCTGGGAAAGCGCATGCTCAAAAAGCTCAAAATAGAGGGACGAGCGTAAATATATGGATAAAAAAGAGAAACGTTAATCAGATGGCTCTTATTATGCATTTAAAGTTTTCAATAATTTTTTAACAATAATAAAACATTACAACACGAATAAATTGTAAGTTCAAGCGTATGAAATGTCTACCAAACTGTATTATACAGATCTTGCATACACAGGCATTCGTTATTAGGCGAATAGAAAACCGATTACTTTTATTACAATTATTCACATGTTTTAGCATTTATTGAAATTGGACATGTGATTTATGAGATATGAGGATGACTAAATACATAGGTAGTTTTAGTTAGATAATTATTTACATTTTTGGTTGAAATTAAACAAAATCCTTTAAAAGCTTTTTCAAAAAAATGAAGAGTTGCTTCATCAGCAGTAGCAAAGTGTACAATAGGGGTGTGCATGATCATGTACAGAATGAAATAATAAGCTATATTATATAACCTGTATGAAATTATTTATTGATGTATATTCAGTACTTTTGAAGAGTTATGTTACAATTCGGTGTAATCTGTAAATAATTGTGCAAAATTTAATATTGAAAAAGTTAGATGTATTGACAAAAAAAAAAACAAATGTGCTCAAGTCTCCCGAAATACACGTATTTATTAAACAATAATTTTATTTGGAAATATATAGGTATTGTATAATCAAAGTACAAAAAATATATATACATAGAGTACATAGTTAACAATTTAAAGGTGAACGTGTAAGCTTTCGATACATCTAGGAGAAAATTATGTCAGAAAACTTAATCGAAAACTACTCATCAGTGACCTAAACTTTTTTTAAGTTAATAGCTGCTTATTTCTTATGAAATTATAGGGATATATATATGTGTTTGTTACATTGAATACATATGTACATAAGAGCATTTAGCAAGGTAATTAACCCATGAAACTAATAACAAGCATCGATTGCTCCGTTCGCGTAAGCTATAAAAGCGAGATAGTTTCGACAGCTTTTACAGTTGCTATAAGTTTACGATACAACACGGTGTACGTTCGTCGCTTAAATCTTTTGTTTCGTTTCTATTATCGTTGTAAGTTTAAAATCAACTAACATTTTTTTATTGCTTATTAAAATGATATTGTATTCAAGGTTGTAAAGTGTTTATCAAAAGCAACTATCACTTTTATTCAATTATTGAGAAATAGTTTACATTATATAATGTGTAGAATAATAACAATAATAACAATATTAACTACACCTCTAAAGGAAAATATATATATATATATATTGCAAATATTATTATATGTATAATAACATATATTATAACGCTCATCTGTATTTTATTTGCACTTGGTTGCTGACAATAAGTACAAATAAAATATGTCAATGTATGCGCATGAAATATAATTACAGTGTTCAACCGTTGTACTTTTTAGCAGTGACAGTTACAAACTAAACAGCGTAATCTTAAAAAATAAATAACATATTATTATGTGTGCGAGTATAGGAAATCATATAAAAATTTTCTTAATTAATTATTCGTTTGAATGGAAAACCGAGAAATAGAAAAAAAACGTTTTTTTACTAGAGAGCATGCCACCATTTAAAATTTTTTTCTACTTATAACCTGATTCATATATCTCTGTTCCTTACAGGTATTGAACAATTGAATATAAAATGAAACTATTCATATTTGCCGGCATTTTAGCTTTAGTATATCTTACTACTGCCGAAGATAAATACACAACTAAATACGATAATATTGACGTTGATGAGATATTAAAGTCAGATCGTTTATTCAATAATTATTTCAAATGTCTGATTGAAATGGGCAAGTGTACACCAGAGGGACGAGAACTAAAGAAGACGCTTCCGGATGCACTGAAAACTGAATGTAGCAAATGTAGTGAAAAACAGAAACAAAATACTGACAAAGTTATACGTTATGTCATCGATAACAAACCCGATGAATGGAAACAACTCCAAGCAAAGTACGACCCTGAGGGTATATATGCAGCCAAATATAAGAAAGAAGCGGAGAAACAAGGAATCGCAATTTAAATCACCTTCACAATTCATAATATATGACTAATACATATTGTAAATAGTTTTGTCAGTACATATTTGTAGATAAGCACATCTTTGTACACACATGTACTCGTGTAAACGCTGACATATATGTAAATAAATAAATAATATTTCGGGGAAGAGACATTTATATCATTGTATGTATAATTACTGATCATCTAAAGGCATGATAACTTTACCTGTTGAAAGTAATATACATTAATTAGATCATTTCCGTTTTTCTCTGAGATTACACAGTGGTTTTGTGGATATAGATGTAAGATCGATTATGGATATATATGTACCCACATTTCATGAAACTATCAATGGTTTAATATTACAAATATAAGAAAATATGAGTGAAATGGAGATCTTGCTAATTACAATGTTAGCTTAATTTTGAATCCCTGACTATAATTTCCTGACTTATCTGAAAATTTATCCAGATAATTGCGGATATTAACTAGCTCATATAATTATATTTGCTCATCACCCTCTTATTCACATTGGTAGACTGTACCGATATTTGACATCACTGTTTCTAAGTAGTCCATGCGAATTACTTTTGAAACGAAAGCGAGAATTTCATGGAGTAAAACAGGACATTTGTAGACTGTAAGTCCAGTTATCTCCACTTTTAATTTTTAGTAAAGCCTTGTAACTTTTGGCATACTTTTCGCATATTTTCGGTAAGCAGTATGATAGTGGAGATCACGTGATGTTTGTATGCGTGAAAAAGGTGCACAGAACCCGAATCATGATTGAAAAACTAAATTGTTATTATATTTGCATGAATAACGTCGTAAGCTGGAAATTTTAGTTTTTGCAGAGCTGTGTTATTAACTTAACCTGTCTTGTGAATAAACTTGAAATGTATGAAAACAAAAATTCTATACTCTTAATCTGGAGAATCTCCTCTATCCAACCATAATCTTTTTAATCATGAAATCATGAGATGGTGTACTATAGCTGTTTGGGTCGTCGGACGTTCGCCCAATACGGAGTTGGAATCGCAGAATCTGTATGGCATAGTAGAACATGGTGGAGGAAAATTATAAGAGTGTATCATTCTCTGAAGTCAAAACATATATCAAAGAAAAAATTTTACAAATGTTTAACCGGGGCAGTTTCAGATTTGACCAGTAAAATTATTAGATACACAAGTTACAGTTAGTGTAATCGTAATTAATATTGTCCGCAAGTTCAAATTACTATCAAAGTCAGCTTTGCTGTGAAATTTTTCTGTAAAGGTAATACGAAAAACATAAAATAAATTATAATTAAACTAAAAACTCAAAAGTTAGAAAAAGATCAAATAGAGAAATATTTACAAAAACTAATTATTTATTCAAAAAATAGAAAATTTACATTGGGCATTTTTGTACGCGAAATACAGGATTAATAAATTATCACAAACTCTGCGAACTAAACCTTTTTTCTAAAATGCAACAGAGGAGTTATGAGCCAACTAGTTGAAAGTATTAGGTCTAGAAAAAAGATTTATTATTTTTCAAATAGATGGGTTTAGTAATTTGTATCTAATGTTGTATAAGTTTGATTGGGTTACACATTATGGCGTTAGAAAGAAAACTTATCGTACTAAAAAACATTCTCAGACAGATTTGTGATTGCTTATCTTTGTGTTGTTTGAACACTCGTCAAAGATGGACACCAGCAAAGCGAAAATACGCCATATTATATATTTTTTCGATAAAAACGAATAAACCTGAGACAAGCAGTTGAAAATGGTTCTGATCAACATTCATAGAATATAAGGTTACGGCAATTATATTAGAATATTTTTTTACGTTGTGACATCACCTTCATTATTTTTTCATTTTTCGGTTCGTCGAAGAGTTTCACTTCGAATTTTCGTAATAGTATACCTAGATGAAATTAAGTAATGCATAGTTTCTAATAACTATATAACTGAAGCTTATACATACCCGCAAGAGGTAAGCGCGTCTCTTCAAAATTAGGTGTATCGTAACCTTTAATTAGATAAAGCCGCTTTGTTATGACCCAAAATATAGCATCGTCTTCGTTCTATTTAAATTCCGTTTAGTCAGGATGGTCGTGAATAATATCACATCAAAATATACTTAAACGCAGCTTTGTATATGAACTCTTTGAAATCATTTACTTCGAAATGATTGGACCAAATCCTTGAGGCAAAAAGTATTTTTAAATCTTAATTTTTGGAAAATCACAAGAAATGTAGTATATAACAACATGCAGAATAGCACTATTTCCCAAAAGTAGACCGAGAGGAAAACACATATATAAGTGATTCAAAAACATTGTCAAGAAAATCTTATTGTCCAAACTGTTCCACAATATTAGATCCCTCAGTCTGCCTTAAGTTTGGCAAAATTGTGCGAAATTTTTATACATAAATTTTTTTATAACAAATAGTTATTCATGTCACTCACACGAATCTTATGCATTTTTTTTCTAACAACCTCCGTACACTTCATCCTCATTTCGAATTTTTAAAATCGATTTTGGCAAAATTTAAGGCTTTACCACTTCAGAAACGCACTTGATCTCGTTGATGTATATTAACTGATTTTGCTATTCGTTTTTATTTTATGCGCGCTCGCATGCGAATGTACAAATGTCAAGACTTTGACTTATTTCAAAATGTCCTATGTTGGAAGTGACATCAGGCAATTAATATTACTTTGGATATACATTTTTGTAAAAAAAATTCAAATTGAAATAAATTTAAAGTATAAAATAAGTTTCTTAGTTGCAAAACTATTTCATAACTCTTTGCTGCAAATTGTTATTAATTGCTTACAAGTACATTACTAGTTTAAAGCTTTTTCTAATAAATATTTTAAGCAGGTTCAAGGCATCTTCAACCAACCAAGTTGAACTAACTTCATCATCAAACATATGATTTCAAAGTTGTCATAATATTTTCTCTACAAACGGTTCTGATACTATAGAATTCAATCATGTGCAATTTCGATTTAGTCGATTCCGTTCCGGTAATTTTGATGACAAAGATTCACCACGCTCTGGAAGACCAATTGTCGAGATATTGATAAAATAATAAAAATCGTCGAGTCCGACATGTAAGCACTGTAGGACCTACATTACGGGTGTGAGAGAATAAATATTTCTCTAATATGCTAAAAGCTTGAGCAATATTGAAAACTAATAGAAATAATAACAAGTAATGAAAAGGTAATTTTGGGTGTAACCGGACATTTTTTATTCTCGCAAATTGTAAAGATTAATGCCGGAGAAATAACTTCTGGTTTTGGCAAAATTTGTATTAAACCAGTGGTGGAATCTACCTACACTGAAAGGTTTGCTCATGAATGGCCAATTAAGAATATCTGCTGTATATGTTATAATTATGAATAAATATAAATCAGGTATGTAGATTTTATTTTGTACGTATTGTCTTAATACCTTAACCAAGTTGCTACCAATGGCGCTAGGCCGCGTTTTCGTAAAAACCACAAAAAATTTTGTATATCTATTTCTATACTTATATTTATATGTACATTGGGTATCTTGGGGCTTTAAATGTTATGGTCCGCTTTCACCCATTTATAGACATAAAATGGCATAGCTTCAAGGCACTATTCGTGTAATGTTTTATTCCAATAAATTTATTGGTGCTTGATTTATATGCTACGTACTATCACTATAGTAAAAAAATTAAATAAAATTTACAATGGATTTGGAAACTAGGCGTGGTTGAAGGCAGATTTTGCCCATTTTTACAATATAAAATAAGGATGCAATATAAATTTGAAAATTCAAATTTGGATGCAATCCGTCGAGAACTTTTTGAGATATATAATTCTACGTAATGGTAGGAAGTGAAAATTTCTTTGAAGCCTTTTAACGTGAAATTCACTGCTTCTTACGTATTTATTTAGCGAGCTATCATTTATTTGTAGTTTACAACCGTTATATGGGGAGTGAGCGTGTTTACTACCCTCATTATCAAATGGTGAGATAAAAAGATTTATCCTGAGCAAATTTTGTTGATGTAGGTTTAGTGGTTTTTATATACAATAAATACATTAAACGTTTTTGGAGCAAGTGCCACTCGTACTTTTTAAAAATTTTCAAATCACATATGCTCCTACTGCGGTCACTGTACGAGAACAGTTTTGCATCTTAATTTGCGGCTTAATTACGGCATCTACGATACTAAATTTTTTATGATACTAAGGAACATGTGTACCCAGTAACATCAAATTATCTTAACTTTTACTCAAGGTACAGCTTGCACGGACAGACGGACGGACAAACAGTTAATCAGAATTCAAACTCGCCTCGTCATCCTGACTATTTATATATATGTAACTCTATCTATTTCGATTAGATTTAGGTGATACAAACAACCCTTAGTTGCCCTTTATTTTGATTCAGTTTAATTTGTTTTGTCTGAAAAGCTTTTTGGGCAAACAATCTAATACATAACGTACTTATATACAAGTAAAGCAAAAGTCGGAAAACAGCGAAGCCAAAGTTGGTGAGCCAGCTTTAATGAAGCTAGAAAAGCATTAATTTGATGATTAACTTCGGTTTCATATATATGGGGATATGAGGATATCAGACATTATCTCCGGTGATAGGAAAAAAGTTCGAAGGCAATGGGGGCCAATTTTTGGAGGCTTATTTGAAATAAGTAATGGAACTCAATGGCCGCCGTGGCAATCGATCTCTTGAGGCTCTCGCGGCAAAAGACATCTATTGGCGGTAATTTTAGCTTCAGTTTCAGCTATCTAATAAAAGAAGAGGTTGAAGCATATTTGTGAAATATGTATCTTCTAGTTATACCAAAAACAAAAAAAAAGTCAAAAATTAAAAGCTGGCACGCCTCAGACAAAAAAGTCGAAATTTTGACACTTTTTTCCGACAATTTTTGGGTCAAAAAGGGTAGTTTTTGAAATTTTTTTGTTTCATTTGGGTGCTATAACTAGAAGTTAACACTACAAAGAAAATGTGTTCCAATTTTCATAAGAATCGGTTGAGAACTTTCCGACATATCTTGCACGCCAGTTTTAAAAAAGTCGTTTTGAGAAAAACGCGTTTAAAGTTTCGACCATGAAAGAGCGCCGAGTTGAGGCGGAACAATTAAGTGCATTTTTTCTTAATAAATAATGAGATTTTCGTTAT